TTATTTATATCTAGTTATTTATATTTATGCACATTTGTTTTTATGCTTGACACTGTTAAATTAATTCAAATAGATCTGATCGCGTTGTTTGAAATCCTCCAAAAATGTTTGCACTTAAAATGAGATAAATATATATTTGGACATTGAAGAGATCAAAAAATTAAGCGAAGAGAGAGATGCTGAATACAAAAAGTCAGCAACGTGAATAGACCTATTATTTATATGTTATTCACTTAAAACCAACATTTAATGATAAATCATCATTAATTCAAATTTATTTATTTATTTTTCTATCATATTCAGTTATATTTTCTATCTTTAGAGCTTGTAATTGTTATTGAAAGTGATCTGTCGATTGAATTATATAATTCCTATTGACAATTTATTGGCAAAAAAATATATGTATATAGATATTAGTTAAATGTTAGGGATGTATGTTGTGGGTCAATATTGGGTTTACTTGAATTGAATCTATTAATTAATAAATTATGAACGGGATTAATTGTAAGTACATACCTAAAACGCGGATACAGCTCCAGTCTTAGGACTTAGGCTTCCCTCTGTTGGGAATATCGGGATCGATCGTGCTGCAATCGTGTTGACTTGACACGTCAAACTGTGTCTTCGTGGTGCTCACGTCTTGCCGCGTCCTTGTCGTTAGTAATGACGTTTAAGTGCGATTTTCTAACATTAGTGCAAAGTGTTTATCTGTGCGGGACGGGCGTATAAATATAATCCCGATGATCCCGATTGTTTATTTACTGTTACATACAAACGGTACGTCGTCGTAGAACATTCGTCGTTCTGCAACAGTATAGAGGTGTAGAGGTTAGAAATCTGCGTGCTCCACATACCGCATACGGCATACGTATTTCGCTCGTGTTTGTCGACGTTTTCTTTTTCCCATTTTTCCGCGGGCACGCGTTGTTCAGCTTGTCATAAGCGAGGAAGGATCAGCTGACCAGGAACGTACCGAGCCTAGGCGATGAGATGATCATTGGCAGTCGTTAAACCTGGTCGATTTGACGGTGCCTAGAGATCGACAATGGCAAAATTCAGGATGTTACCGCGCACGTCGCGCATCGTGGCCCTCTGCTCGGCTGCGAATTTCATAAACGCCGCTGACAGGGTCATCATGCCCATCGCCATTGTGCTGATGACCGACGAGTTTAAGTGGAACCTGTACTGGCAGGGATGGATACTGTCTGCGTTTGCTTTCGGATATTTCACTAGTCAGGTAGACGATTCGTACGTTTTGTGTCACCGCTAATGGAAATGCAGCGTCTATAATGTGTCATTATCTCCTTCAAGATCATCGGCGCGAGCACAGCGAGTCGTTTTGGCTGCAAAACTGTACTTATGCTAGCGGTTTTGCTATGGTCCATTAGTACGGTCATCACACCGTTACTAGCACAGTCGGTGCCATTACTCATACTTTGTAGGGTGGTTCTAGGACTAGGAGAAGGATTAGGTAAGGATAAAGGAGGAATGGAACATTTCGGAGCAGATGTGAGGTCTGTTATTCTTTGAAAAGTGTTTTGAATTGGTATATATGATGCAATAAGTTGGAGTGAAATAAATTTAGTTATTTCACTCCAACTTATTGCAACCATTGCAGTATATACCAATTCAAAACATTACTATATTTATTTCACTCCAATTTATTGTTCCATTTTACACCTGCAGTTCAAAACATTCTTTGAAAAAGAACAGACTTGAGACCTGTTTTTCCTCTCCAAGTTAAAAGATGAACAATGCAAAAAGTTGCTAAACAAAAACAAAGGCCTATTCTTTTTACCTATTTATAAACTTCTTTATATGGTTTATCTTTCCACTTTTTGTATAAAGAAAACATTAAAATAAAAAATAAATAATGCTAATTTAGCTAAAAAAAAAAAACAGGCCATTCTGAGATTAGGAGTTAACTTGAGATTGTTTGTAGGCCTACCAGTAATATTTCATTTATTCGCACATAATGTTCCTGTGGAAGAAAGATCACGCGCTTTTGGCTATCTAGTAGCTGCTGGTTCTGTTGGCCAAGTGGTCGCATCTGTTGTAAGTCTCATTTTACTCTCAAAATGTGCATTAAATTATAAAAAAAATTATATTTTACAAATCGTACGTCTTTCCATTCGTTAGGTATGTTCCCACTTGGCGTGGCAAACTGGATTTTATTTATTTGGGACAATAGGTATCGTATGGACAGTGTTGTGGCTGATGCTGTATCAGGAAACTAATTCTCAAGATGAGATTCCGTTATTTGTTCCTAAAGTAAACTTCTGCTCGACATTTAATTTATTTTCAATTCTATCTTTGGTATTGATGTTTCATAATTGATTGATAGGTAGCTCAAAATAGAAGCTTACGTTGGACTGAGTTTATTGCTCACTGGCCCCTGTGGGCTTTGTATATAGCACATTTTGCGATGAATTGGAGTAATTATATAATAATGCAGTGGCTGCCAACTTATTTGGCAAGAAACTTATCTGCGAATACGGAGAGTATTAGTTTGACAGCCCTCCCTTATATCGTTAATTCTCTCATTGGTATTGGTAAGTATATATAATTATATATATTTCAACTTTGTTTTAAATATTTTTCAAAACTATCCTCTTTTCTTCACAGTTGCTGGTCACAGTGCTGACACTTTGATACAAAAAAGATGGTCTGTTTTGTCTGTTAGAAGATTAATGACAAACATAGGCCTAATAGGACCAGGTGCTTTTCTATTAGCTTTCTGTGCTGTAGATAATCTGCTTGCTGCAGTCGTGTATGTATAACAACATTAGTCTTATGTTTTCTATTTTTTTCTATGTTTGATTTTTTTCTCTATGAAATTATTATCTTATAGCTTTGTTTCGATATCTATGGGCCTCTGTGCGTGCAATTCAGCCGGACATTTAAGTAATCACGCGGATATAGCTCCGAATCATGCGGGAATTACATTTGCAGTTTCAAATACAATTGTACGCATGTTTTTACTTAACAATAAGTCAACACCGATATGATTGCCGTAAAGTTGACTACATTATCTGTGTCGTGTATATCTTAATTTTCAGGCAACAGTACCTGGAATTCTTTGTGGACCATTGACAGCTGAATTAGTAACTGCCTCGCACGGTTGGTGGATGCCAGTTTTCGTGTTAGCGGCAGCGATTAATTTCACCGGGGCTATAATATACCAAAGCCATAGTTCAGCGCTTCCAGTGTTGTGATATGCTCTATCTCTCATCCAGCGATTATTTGTTATTGAAAAGAAGGAAGAGGTTGTAAAGTGTTTGTTTCAAAACACTGAGATGCCTGTTTGCTTTTAGATCATTTTGAATGATTCCCAATGAGGTAGCTACGAACGTTTACCAGAATGTTGGTGTGATGCATCGCGTATCGGCCAGTCGAAGACATATCATGATGCTTTATTTATATCTTAAATAAATTTTTATTATCTTTTTTGAGGCAACAAAGTGTGATTTTGACAGACAGTGCCATAACTTGATGGAAAGAATGGAATTATTTGAAAAAATAATTGAGAAATGCAAGACACATTTATGAAACTCATCATACACCTTAATCAATATATGTATTGTATCACTCAAGAATTAGCGGAAAACATTTTGTGATTGTTATAATAAAAATTAAAATTTTTAGTTATGTGGTTAGGATATAAAATGTATATTTTATAAAACTTAAGACTGTACATAGAAGAAATTTTAACTTTCACATTTATATATTTTTTAAAATATTTTAGCACATAGGAGAGATAATCTGTTCACTCACGTATTGTAAGAACTGGAAAATGAGAACAAGACTTACGAAATGATAAAATTTCAAACAATTTAAAATATAATTTAGTAATGTTTATATATAAAAATAAATATATATTAATGAATATTTCTGCCACGTACAGCAGATATTATAAAGATAAGTCCTTTCTCAAGTATTCCGACTGCAATATTTGCGACAGCGTGTCTCTCGATAAATTTTCGTTTAATCCCATTTTAATGCAGGCGTTATCTTGCAAATTTGTTGCGCTCGAGTGTCTCCGAATATTGAAAGATTTCGCATCGACCGCTTTCGTCGGTCGTATATCGTTATATAATTCCGTATTCTCGAGAGACATATCATGAATTCTTCTATTCTCTTGGGTAGTATCAACGGATGTCACTTGTGTTGCAGTATTCGAGTAAGAGTGATATACATCATCTTCGCTTGCGTAATTTTCCGAATCGTAGTCATCACTGTGTCTTTCGAAATTTTCATACAACATGTGCGGTCCAATATTATGATTCGCTAGAATATTTTCAATATCGCTTACAGATGGTTTTACACTTTGAGAATATTCTTCCTTTTTCTCTTCGATGCCGCATGATTTGTGAATATTATCAGTGTGATGTTGTAGATACTCCTCGATGGAAGATCTTATCTTCGCTCTTATTCTACTTTCATCTGTAAACTTTGGCTTCATTATATCTGTAACAACTGTATCTTGTTTCTTATTTGATGCAATTATATTGTGATCTTTGTATGGTGATTGTATGGTTGATCTTTTATCAACGGGGATGTCATACTCGTGCGCTTCAGTGCGTTTAGACTGCTTTTTCGCAGTATAATTCGATGAGACGAAATTCTTATTTAATTGTTTATCCGTTAAAATATTTTCCACACCTTCGTCGAATCGTATCCTTGCCATATCTTTATCAATTGTTTTACTATCTTCGTTTTTCAGAATAGAAAATGCTGATTTAGTCCTCGCTTTTCTGTCGGGAAAGATTAAGTTTCTTATAATTTCAGCTTGTTCCCGTAAACTTGGCTTGCTCGTTTTGAGAACATTATTCGCGCTTTTGTGCAAGTAACGATTCGCCTTGGGATCCATGTAATTTCTCTGAACTCTGTCTATCTCGCACGTCATCTTCTCTAGTATCTCGTACAGTTTTTTCGTTTGGACACTGTCAATGCGATTCTTACCCTTCTTCCAATCTTTTTCTCCTCGTAACTCTTGCCACGCAGACTTTACTTTCTCCACTTCGTGATCTATGTCTTGCTCGACTGAGGTATAAACGATCGAATTGTATAATTTTTTAAAATTATAATTTAAATAATATAAAAGGTATTAAAAACAACATTTGAAGAGCGAACGAAGTTATTCGATAAAAGCATAGAAATTTACATTCATTGTCAACTTGTTTGTTTAGTATCCTCGACGGATTCTCTCCACCAAGTATTGGAAGGCAAGTATTTTTCATCGGAGAAGAATTCGTTACATACAAATCTGGATCATTTGTCACGAAATCGATATGTGACTTCAATTCCGGCAAGACAGCGGATGATTTCCGTTCCATAAAATCTATATAATAAATATACACTAATAAAAAATGTAGAATATCTTGGAATTAAATATTTTTATCTGTGAGTATCCAAATATTTCCATCTGTGTTTTAAAATTTACAATACTGAAAATTTAATAGTGACGTAGACTATAAATTTTCAATACTGGCAGTAAATTTTGGAATACTGTATTTTTATGTAACCTGTATTTTTACCGATTATGTAAATCTTAAAACGTGTAATAATTTAAAAATTCGAGTGGACGAAGAGACAATATTTAATTTAATTAGCTTCATACCTGTTTTAGAATGAATTTGCGCAGAGCTATTTTTACGCCACAAAATAGTCTGAGACGTTAACGGACGTGATTGTTCAGTATTAACAAACGGAGTAAATTCGTAGATGAAATTGCTTGTCGCCGAAATTCTTTTTGTGGAATGTACAGGTAATCTTTTTCCCTGCTTTGTTATATTTTCCGCTATCTGTCTCGAAAAATATTCTTATTAATATTTAATCAGCATTAACAAATTTGTAACTAGCATTCTTGAAATAAATTAAAAAAAGACTATTGTATAATGATTCCAAGAACGACATTAAAAAGAACCTATTTTAATCTATTATAGACGTCACTGTGTCATCTTTTATTATAAGTTTGTTATTTTTAGCTGAATTTTTTTTGCATAGCTTATCTTTCCTCTTTTTCTCTTTAACATGAAAAGAAAAAGCGGGAAGATGAGATTCAACTAAAATAGGAGGGGCCTATCACTCTGCTATTTGAGATGTAAATTATATGTATATCTTTTGGCGATATATATTAATTATGGATCTCAATAAATTTTTAAATAAATAGAAAAACGTACAATATCGCGTTTTACTTTAGTTCCTACGATATCCTTGTTAAAGAGTTTTGCTTTATTCAAGACAGCATTGGTTTGTAATTTTTGACTTCCATCCAATTTATTATAATAAGAATTCAGGTTATTCTTATTTTGATCGCCATGCGCCTTTAAATCCCGTGGAAATTGCCGAAATTTCTCATCATAGATTTTAACAAGACTCGTTCTGTATGGATTAAAAAATTTTATATATAAATTGAAATCAACGTGTACTATCGTTTACAAGAAGATAGAAATTTTACTTTGTATAAGTATCCATGCAAATCTGTTCCTCTGAGCACAGTTTATTTCCATTCTTGTCCACTCTGTTACGATTAGCCGTTCTTTTGGTCTTCTTTTGATTATATTGACGTGATTTTTTGATACTGCAAATTAATTCATGTCATATATAATTATGTATATGTTTAAACGCATATATGATCTCTTTTTCTCACTTCGTTCCGGAGAGAGAAGTTAATTTGCATTTTAGTACGTCCGCGTGCTCTAGCAATGCCTTCTCCCGTTCTGCTCTTTCCACGAAAACAGACAGGGCGTTAATTCTATTATACTCCTCACAATTTTGTGTCTTGACACGGGCAGTATTTAGATTCACGGCGAAAGGGAATAAGGCATAATAAGAATACGAAATGGTTTTGATTTAAAAATTGATGTGTCTTGAATTTTACTTCTCAAATTGTGTTTCGCGAAACTATATAGTACGATTTTCAGACAGACAAAAAAAAATGTATATTATTTTTATATGTATATTTTTAGCAAATCTATTAAAAGCAACGCTTGGATGAAAATGAGAAAATCGCCGACCGCGTATTACGTGTTGCACATTGACGTAACCTTTCCAACTTCATTCATATTTGATCATAAAAAAATATCAAAATCGATATCCGATTTCATCTAAAAAAACATTAAAATATCATCAATGGAGGGAATTCGGATATACATTCATTCGTTTGAAGAAAAAAAAAAAACAAAAGGCTTTGTAGTTTTATTTATCAGTCTTTATTCGTATAACTAATCGACAGATCAAAATATATTTATATTATTTTTAAATATATATATATATATATATATGTAAAGAGATGTTAACGATACAGAGCTATACGCTCGAGCGCCTCGAGCGTTCTCGATAGTTTATCACTGATATAATTCGAGACACAAGGAAAAAATCTTGCGTTTTCTTTTTATCGAATCGGCCATGCATTTTCGGATCGTGGATTGCGTAAAAGCTAAATCAAGTCCAGCTTGATTCTTTTGTGCGGCTTCTTTATTCCGCTGCGTAGGAAAGAGCGCGAGCGTAAGCGGTAAATACATTGCACGATATTGCGTATACGATTTTCTATCAAATGTATCCATTTCGTTTTAGAAATCTCTCTCGCAATTAGTCCTCGACACCTCCACGAAAGAGAACGCACACAATTGTTCAACAAGAGAGATTCGCTTATCCAGATTATTGTACAAAGAATATATACGGATGCATTCGAGTCTACGAGCTTGCGAGCTTCTAAAACGGCGGTCACTCGGACACGCGGTGGCGGAAGGAGTAATAAAAAAGTACGAAGGAAGAATCAAGCTGACACGAGGAAAACATAAAGGACTAAGACAAAGGAGATAGATAGATAAAGAAAGAGAGTGTGTGTGAGAGAGAGAGAGAGAGAAAGAGAGAGAGAGAGAGGATATGCACACTATCGGTTCCTTCGCCGTTTTGGCGAAAATCAGGAAATTTTGACAAGGCTCATGATGCCGCAAACAGTGCACATAACTCGACCAGGAATCGATTCTGATCCACTAAAACGATATTGCGAGGAGTCTCAAAAAATTTTCAGAGATTGTAGGAAATAAATAACGCGCGAGTACACACAAAAAGATATCATTCTATATATTGTTAAGAAAAGTGATTAATCATATTTACTTTCTTTTAAGTAACAGTTATCTTAAACAAAGAATATTTTCTTTATAATAATCTTAAAATGTATACTTGTTACAAAAAATTAAAAAAATTAAATTAAAAAAAAACTTATTATGTACTTAAAACAGGAATTTTATTTTCTTTTGAAGAATATTATAAAATTAATTGAAGAATCGACTTTATGTAATAAGAAAATTGAATGTTTTAATAAATTAAAGTAATCTCGATTGAAACGTTAAATTAACTACGAATATATTTCAAATGATGCTTGTAATGAACTTATGATAGAGTTGTGGATATATGAACTTTGAAATATTCAAAACAAATAATTTTTATTTGCATACAGTATGTATTTTTCTGTGTGTAAGTATGTATGTTGTGACATTTGAATTGCATATAGAAATAAAAAAAAACTGAAGTAAAATTGACATAAGCTTTAATAGAAATCTTTATGTTTTTAAGAGCTTATATGAATAATCATCGAAATACATCAAAGTACATTTAATATATATATTTGAAAGCTCTTGCGCCACCGCGTATCTACTCTCTCGCTCGGCTCATAAAAAAATTCACATTTTCATTTGAATAACTTTCACTCAAAAATAATAATTAACTTCATATAAAACAGCTCTGTACATTAACGTAGCACCGTTTCCAGCATCTCGGACGTCGCCTCTTTACTTTATGAAACGAGTGAACTGAAAGAATCGTGAGAAATCTGTTCTGCGAAATCTCAATCTCCCGATCTCTTAAAATCAGGATTCCACTATTCCACAAAATTTTTGAATTCTTTCCTGATTTTTTATCGTTGGAAACATTTCTCTTTGTTCATTTTAACAAAAAAAGTCGACCGCCCTAATTATACGATTTTTCCGTCTTGGAATCGCAATGAATAGAAACGGAAATACGAAGAGAGAAACGACGAGGAGGAGAAATTGTTTAGCAGTTCGAAGATCAATTTCGAACGGGGAGATTGGGAGATCGTAATTGCGCCAAGTGGATTCCAGACATTTTTCCTTCGAATTCACTCCTTTCCTCGTAGACTTTTTAGTCTATAAAATGTAGACGTAATAAATTGATCATCGATCCTCTCTCCCTTTACGCCTGCACCCGCGAGGCCGCGCGCGTGCCACCAGCGCGATCCTCTAGCGGGCAACTATTTTGACATCTATTAGCGTCTTCTCCGGACTACTAGTTCTGCTGTTTGCCGGCCTCATGGGGCAACACGACGCGCTTCGTGAGATCCGGCGGCGCGTCGTAGCTCTGAGAGCCGCGATCGTCGCCGCGGTCCAGGGTCAGCAGGCTCCTCGACGGACTCGGCGAGATCAGGCATTCGTGAATGAAGCTGCACACCGTGTTCACGTAGACGTCGCGGTAGGTCGTGTAGTGCTTGACATGCGGCGAATTGGTGAACAGGACGAGCTGCACCCTCACACCCCTCTCGGCCCTCCGACTGGCGAACTTCTCGACGTCCTGATGAAAGACAGAATCTCTCGTGTAACAAGATTCTTCTCATTACATCTAGGATTGTAATAATGATAAGGTACATTCAATTAAACTCTCTAATTTCAAAGGACATTAAAACTTTCAACATTTCACATTCAACATTCTTTTTTACGGCGCATTATCTTTATATTTCTACTTGTTTATTTATACAAATTATTTTGGCTCGGTAAAAATGTTGAATATCAATTTGACAAAAATTATTCAAATAACGTGATAATCACATTGCGTTAAATTAACATTCGAGTTGTGTGAAAAAAATTCAACGCCAATTTTAACAAATATGTTTTACTGTACAACAGTTACATTGCTGACTGTAAACGTCAATGTTACGTTACTGTTGGTTGTTTTATTGTGGAATTAGCATAAAAAAGTGGAAACTTACTGACGCTGGGATCAGAGTATCGCTATTGGAGTAAAGGAACAGCTGAGGCCAAGAATAAGCTTCCTCCGCGAGGGCGATCGGGTTCGTCGGAATAGGCGTTCTGCTGAAAGCCTGCGCAATTACCTGACGATCATAAATCGACATATAAACTGTACAGCGTCGGTACAGCTCTGAAATGATCCGATCTATGGACATGATATGGTACGCCGCCCTGACAAACATACGTTTGCGATGAGATCGTGTCGGACGTGTTCGGCAATTAATGAAGATTACGATCGTTTCATGCTGGCTTAATGTTCATTGAGACAATGAGAATCACGGAGTGTCAACATGTTGTTCGTTTACCTCGAAGAACCAGAGTACGGAGAGGAAGAACGTGATGACGAATGACATCGGCAGGTTCGTGAGGGGGTTACCACCGATAATCGCGCTGATTGCCTTGAAAAGTGCTGTTAGTCTTCTCTCACCGGGTGCGCTGTCGAATATCACTCCCCTGACCTGAAATTCCAGTCAGAAATTCTTATATGTCGATATAGCAAATAAAATAATTTTATAGGATAATTATTCTGTACACATTCTCTATCTTCTCTACTTTAAATGCTTTACAATTTGTGTCTGGAACAAAATATATAATATAAAATGTACACGGAGAGAATTTTTTCTTAGAGTTTACCTCGAAGATATGGTAGTTTTGGGACAACATAAGGGAGTTTTTGCATTAACGTGGATCCAGATACGATAAACGCTAAAGTCACGTTATCCTTTTCTTAATTAGTTATTAAGAAGAGGATAATTTATTAATAAAACTACAATATAAAAATAAAATACAATAAAATATAAAATAAATTTGATTAATTTTACTGAAGTGCATTAAAAATCTTTAAAATATTGTGTACCACAACTACCATATTTTCAGGGTGAATTTTAAAAGATAATTCTCTCCGTGTGGAATACATAATTTTATACGATATACATTTTTGTATGTGTGACTGCATTTTAAGGTACATTTTATGTTAATATTTTTAATTCTTTAATTCTTTTTTTTTCGTATTACACAATCCAGCAAACTTCAATTAATAAAGTAACATAACTATTAGTTACAAGATTCCTACTCAATAATATGACTGTTTATAATATAATTTATAATATAATAATTTATAACAAGTGTTATATTACAATTTGTCGAGTGGGAAATAATAATTAACAGTTATGTTACTGTTAATTGTTACATACTTTCTGGATTGTGTAATGAGAGAAATAATAGAGGAATCGGAATGCAAATATATATAAAATATACACTAAAATACATCGTGAAATACATTAATACATACAGCGTACATAAAAAATCATGACATATATTGTAAGTAGAAATTGTAAGTAGAAATAAATGTAAAATTTGAAAAAAAAAGAGATCTAACGCAAATTGCAATACATGACTGTCTTGTGTGTGATTCAAAATTTAGTTCAATTAAAATTCAAAATAGACTTCTCTATATAATTTTATACATTTAAAACACGAAAAACGTTTAAAGGGCTAAAAACACCCCCGCATATGTAAAGTATAATTCTACGCAGTATAAATTATACTTAATGTAGTAATTATGCTAAGTATAATTATGTACAGCATACTATTATAATTCTGACACGAATTGCAGATTGTCTAGCGGACTTGACGTAAAGAGATTTTCGTCGCGACGAGACGTCTACCTTGAACGGAGTATTAGCCCTCTGCATCGCGAGGCTGATGTGCTGATACAGGAACGCTCCGCCGTTGCTGAAGACGTGAAAGAATATGGGATGCTCGTCCAGCCGCTCGTCGGTGATCACCTGCAGCAACCGCTTGCCGATGTAAGGCATCTTGTCCCGGCGCCAGAACAGGTATTCCACCGGCGCTGTGTAACGCAGCGTGATGCAACTACGAGTATATATACGAGAATGCAACGCGAAAATTAATTATTATCAGGAGATTAATTGTATTTCGAACGGCGTTGAGCAACATCGATCGCTCTTTGCGATCGAATTAATGGATTTGACACGAGCGTATCCGATGCGTCATGTTGTACTCGCAAAAATGGAGTATTTCCGGTTCTACATTACGGTATTGCATTTTCGATTTCAAGTATCCTCCGACCTCGCATTTCGCGAGACATTGCATTAGAAAGAAAATCCCGCTTTCGAATTCGATTCATGTAATAAAAATCGT